ATATCGGTACAACGTATAACAAGGACCACCTGTAACAGAACCCTTTTGTAAATCAGAGAATGCATGTACAGTACCATGGTGTCTCTACTTTCAGTTGGTCGTGGTGTGTGTACAGTAGGCTCACCACCTTCACGTCTATCTCGTACCGGGAAAAGTACCACAAAAGTGAAAATCAGAAAAGTATTGAGCATAGTATACATGTTAAAGAGTCAATTGGTACAGGCCAAAATGATTTCCATCCCCAACTTTTCCCCAATAAAGCACCCAAACCCTGCCTGAAACTCTGGATTTATTTTTAAAACTATTATTAAATTTACTTACACAACCTCGACAGAATCTTGAACAATGAAAACAGTACTTGAGAGATGGTGAGTGCTGACAACATTGTTAGGGATAACATAATGATTAGCTGTTACCACTCTATAAACATGAGCCCTGGAATATACTATGGTGCAATAGTTCAAGTGGGATTTCTTTTCTTTTTGGGAATTGTATATTTTTTAATAATGTTTTTTTTTTAAACCGGAACTAAATAACCTAAATAATATGGGAATTGTGGTGAAATTGCATAATATCATTATAAAGGGGTTGCAGACTGACTAGCATGGGAAGGGAGTTACCTTCCTCCACCTCCCTCCTCCTCTGCCAGCTCCTCTCCCAGGTTATGCACCCAAACATAGTTTTGTACAGTATCTTAATATAATTAATATTATATTCCTATAATTCATTCATCTTAATCTATTTCATAATATATTCCTATAATAATAATAGACTTTTTGGAACCAGGAAACCTGTGATGTTTGGTAGTGAGGATCACACTGGATAACACCCTTCTACTTTTACTTTTTACTTTTATCCTCTTCGCCACTGATCGGCTTGTTAGCCGCTTGGGCGATCGGTCACGTCTCTTTTCATTTATATTCTTCACCAAAAGATCGGCTCGCTAGCCGCCCGGGCGATCGGTCACGTCTCTGTCACGCACTGTTGGCAAATACTGGGCATGCACCGGCTCCTGAATGTACCTGAACCCGCTCCAGTGTTGGTCAAGTCTTGTCTTGAAAGAGCTCACACTCGGTGCCGTCACAACACTCTCTGGTAGATTGTTCCAAGAGTTTTACAACCCTCACTCCGAAAAAGTTTGCCCTCACGGTTTTCTGTACTTGCGGCTTCTTCAATCTTGAGCTATGACCCCTTGTGGGGCGAGCGTCCGCCAGCTCCAAGTAAGGACACTCAACTGAGTAGTGCCCCCTGAGATGCTTATACACCTCAACTAGGTCCCCCCTTGCCCGTCTGTAGTATAAGCTAGGCAAGTTCAGGAGCTCCAATCTCTCAGGGTAGCTGAGATGCCGAAGTGCAGGCACCAGTCTGGTGGCCCTCCTTTGAACATTTTCAACCAACTGACAGTCCCTAGCATATCTTGGGGACCAGATGGGGTGACAGTACTCCAGATGGGGAAGCACTTCACTCCTGAAGATCGTTACGAGGGACGGACCGTCTAGTTATCTGAACGACCTTCTTATAAGACCCAATAATTTATTTGCCTGATTTACCTTCTTCTCACAATGGCCCGAGAACTTCAGCTCATTGTCAACATACACACCTAGGTACTTCTCACACACAGTCTCAACTAGTGCATTTTCTTCATCCCGTTGGGACATATGATATGCCTCCTTACCAATGGTACGCCCCAGGTGCATCCTCTTACACTTCGTGACATTGAATCTCAGCAGCCATTTCTTCGTCCATTCCTGGAGCCCACAGAGGTCCTTCTGCAGCTCTTCACAGTCCGCTTGGTTCTTAATTTCCCGAAATAACTTGGCGTCATCGGCAAACATTTGTATGGAGGAGTGTACAACGTCAGGCATGTCATTTATGAAACAAACAAACAACAGCGGGCGCAATACACTGTCCTGTGGTACCCCACTTGTTACAGGTACAGATGACGATTTCGTGCCATTAATCACCACACACTGCTTGCGGTCATGTAGAAAGTCTTCTATCCACACTAGGACATTTCCCCGAATTCCGTACCCTTCCAGTTTGATTTTCAGCCTTTCGTGGGGTACACTGTCGAAAGCCTTGGCAAAATCAAGGTAAATATTGTCGATATTACCACCCCGTTCCAGAATATGGGTCCAAATATCCAATACCTTGAGCAATTGTGTTAAGCAAGAGCGCCCCGGCATAAAACCGTGTTGGCAATCTTTTACAAGGTTGTTTCGTAGTAGATGTTCCATCGCGGCATCTCTGATAATACTCTCAAGTATTTTACATATTATGCTGGTCAGGCTCACCGGTCTATAGTTGTTCGTGGAGTGACTATCGCCCTTCTTGAAGATAGGACTCACATAAGCCACTTTCCATTCACTGGGGACCATTTGTTCATCCAGGCATTTACAAAACAGGATCTTAAGGGGCTCGGCAAGCTCGTTGAATAATCTCTAGCACTCTAGGATGCACCATGTCAGGGCCGGGACTCTTATGGACCTTTAGCCTAGACAGTTTATTTCTAATACCCTCTTCTGTGAACACAATGTGGGTCAGTGCTGTGTCGAACCGTCTGTCCTCAAATGCAGGAAGGTTAGTTGCATCCTCTCTTGTGATCACTGAGGAAAAGAAGCTGTTCAATGCCTCAGCTTTATCCTGGTCAGAATCTGCGTAACTATCATCTTCAAGCCTCAGGTCTGATACTCCTACTCGCGTTTTTAATTTCGACTTTGCATAGCGGTAAAATGCCTTTGGGTTTGACTTGATCTCGCGTGCAACCTGCCTCTGGAACTCCTTTTCAGCCCTCCTACACTCTATCTTTGCTTGGTTTCTGGCTCTTGCATACATCCTCCTGTCTTGCTCATCGTTTGACCCAGCCCTTAACATATTGGTGGGAGTTACCGCTGCACCACTAACACCCCTAAACAAATCATGTTGAATCAATGTGAAAAATTTATGATAATTTAACTCGGTAAAGCTATCCATCCAAACTCAAAATGTGTAAGTTTTTTAAAATTAAAAATGTTTTATGTACTCGTACAGTAATTCCTAGATTCGACCTTGAGTTTGTGAGTTTGACCACCTTACATTCCACCTGTGCCACTTGAAGTTGCATCACTTAGCCGGCACCGTAAGAGCGACACACAGTTAGTTACATAAGAGTTGCCTGTACCCAAAACCCTCCACTGATGTAAGCAAGGTCTGCCACTAACGCGCTGATGCTGTGACCTCAGGCCCTCAATGCCCTACACAGTGCATTATACCCGTGAAAGTGGTGAGGAAGTGCGCAAATCTGAATGATGGACACATTTGGAACCTACTGAGAAAGTGAATTGCGAAACTAGATTCCGCAAAACTAGTGAGACTACTGTCAGTGGTGGGCTCAGCTAAATGAAAAGTTAGCTTTGCTAACCGCTAATCTGCTAACTAAAAAGTTAACTTCACCAACGCTAAACCGCTAAACAGCTAAAAAAATTAGCGGAAGCTAACGCTAACCGCTAAATTTTATTATATGAATTTAGCTTCGGTTTGTTTGTTTTCAGGCTCTAAAACCCTTAAAAACAGACCTAGAGAGCTGAAATTTTCATTTGTTGTCTTCTAACTTAGACATAGAGCTTTCCCAAAAATTATAGGATGCCAAGGTCAGATGATGATCAAGGTGTACACAAATAATTAAATGAACAAATGAAATGAAACATTAGTTTACATTCAAGTTTCAACATACACTTTATAATCTTTATTTACTGTAAGAAAAGACAGAAAGTATTAAACGAATCCAAAAACTATAGTACTGTATAGCATAGGTAGCAAATAGCATCATGCCAAGATCAGATGATGATCAACTTATCAAGGTGTACACTGTACACAATTTCACAAATAATTAATTTGCATTCTCATAAAACCTATCGGCCTTATTCATTATTCATGTAAATATGCAATACCAACCACATACACATTATACCAGTGCATTTTTATATAACTTATTGTTGGTATTAGTCATGTAAATAAACAGAAAACTCTAAACTTCACACGCAGTCAGCCAAGCGTGCCTGACTGGCTGTTGGAGACACGTCGCGCCGTCACACGCTTACAACAGACAGGAACAAACATGTATAAATTTTGTTAGCGGACTTAAAGTTAGCGGAACTAAATTTAGCGGAAGCTAATTGGTCCGCTAACGGTTTCCAAAGTTAGCAAAAACGCTAATCCGCGAACGAGAAAGTTAGCTTCGCTAATTAGCGGTTAGCGGATAAGCGGAACCGTGCCCACCACTGACCACTGTACTGTGTATTATATCACTTGACTGTACTCTGGCACCTCAAACAGAAACATTAGATTTCCTGCAGTTGTCTACCTTATACAGGTACTACAGACAGGCAAGGGCTAATGTAATAGAAGTCTATAAGCACAGTGGCCACAGTATACCTAATTTTAAGGCTCTAGATGTAGAAAGAAACATCTGTGGACGGCTAACACCTGAAACTTAGATGTGACCACCAACATAGGAAGATGTCTCAATTTTTCTATAATTGAAGAAGATATCTAGCCTCCTGGACTCACATACAGTATAGGAGACCTGGCTTAAGGCAGCTAACAGCAGAGTGAGTTTGTTTCTCACATAACTTAAAGCTCTCACAATAAAAAAAAATTAACACTAGCTTCAAAAACTAAAAAGTTATGGTTGTTTGAACTTCGAAAAACTTTAAACGCATTTTTCTCAGGTTTTTTAATATGGCGCTTCACCCCCTTCTAATGCGGAGCGCCTCATATTACTGTAGGACCTTCTCAACTGTCTGCCTCTCTCTCTCCTTACAGCATTAATAGATAAAAATGCATGCAAAGATAAAAATGTGAGTCAGCCATAATATTAAGAATTATTCTTACTGGATGTAATGTACAGTACGTGACAAGTTATCTTTAAACATCTAAAGTAAAAACTCCTTAAGTTGTACAGTCAGCCTATATAAGAGTAACTACTGCTACAGTATTTTCCTGAAGTACACAGTACACACCTTTCCTGAAGAATCCTCCGGAACTCTTCCGGACATCTTTGTTAAATACTATGTCGTCAGCTTCTCGCTCTCGACTTTTCATTGAACTGAAGGAAGTGTGATGGACAACCTGCAGTAGAAGGAAATTGATGTATAAACACATAAAATGGTTTCTTAAATACAGGGTACCGTTTTCTTTATAAGCTTATCACATCATCATGTAAGAGCTACAGTACAGATATGTGGTTTTGAAATTGTTTCTGTACCAATTCAAAGATTTACACAATTTCTAAAATCAAAATAAAATACTTAATAGGATTTATAACCTAGCCTAACTAATCCAATACTGTACATAAAAACATAGATACAAAATTTAAAATAAAAAAGATACTGCATGGTCTTATATGTGCAAAATGTGACATATAACAGTGTGACTATTTTGATATAACTTCAAAAACTTTTATGTAACAAAAAGTCCTCTAACATTATACACAATTGTTTGTAATGCATCTTATAGCTGCATTATAAGGTATAAAAATATTGCTTTGATGCTTTTATGTGATTTGTGAATCAAAGTGAAACTTGCATAGATGCAGGAATTACCATACGAGGTGTAAGAGTGTGGGTCTATCATGAGTGGCTTCCTTCTTACCAGACTTGAGGTCACTTACAGTACAGTTGTACCCCACTTAACGCGGTCAATAGAACCCAGAGGGTCCCGTGTTAAGTGAAATCCGCGTTAAGTGAACAACAGAACATATGGGATTAATTCCAATAGAAACCGGCCCGACCCCCAAACTCCACTTTTTGAAGACACATAACTATGTTGTAGTAAAAATAACATCTTAATTTTATGATGGTACATGCACACAATTAATACTTAAGAGAAATAGAGAAATACAGTCGCCAAGTTAATGTCCATTCAAATAATGGACTCAACTCCCTCCCCCTCACACACACGCTGCCAGCTCTTCCCCTCTGAGAAATTTTTGGGGAAAACCACTAAATTTTAATAAATAATACCTCAAACTAAAGTTAGGATAATACAATTGACATTGCTGGATTCCTTGTAAGACCAGGAATATTTTGAATATAAATGTCATATATTTTGCACAAAAGATAACATAGTTACTCAGAAAAATTTTTTATCTAAAATTTGTATGTCTAATGCAAAATATATGATGTTTATATTCAAAATGATCACCAAATTATAAGAATTCCAGCAATGTAAATTATATTCTGGCCAGGTAATTTGTATGAATTTTATGAGCTAAAACAAATATCTTCAGTTAATAAAATTATTGTGTCTTATAAGAAGGTTGTTCAGATATCTAGACGGTCCGTCCCTCGTAACGATCTTCAAGAGTGAAGTGCTTCCCCATCAGGAGTACTGTCACCCCGTCTGGTCCCCGAGATGTGCTAGGGATTGTCAGTTGGTTGAAAATGTTCAAAGGAGGCCCACCAGACTGGTGCCTGCAGTTCGGCACCTCAGCTACCCTGAGAGATTGTAGAGCCTGAACATGCCTAGCTTATACTGCAGACGGGCAAGGGGGGACCTAGTTGAGGTGTATAAGCATCTCAAGGGGCACTACTCAGTCGAGTGTCCTTACTTGGAGCTGGCAGATGCTCGCTCCACAAGAGGTCACAGCTCAAGATTGAAGAAGCCACAAGTCCAGAAAACTGTGAGGGCAAACTTTTTCGGAGTGAGAGTTGTGAACTCTTGGAACAATCTTCCAGAAAGTGCTGTGATGGCACCGAGTGTGAGCTCTTTCAAGACAAGACTTGACCAACACTGGAGCAGGTTCAGGTACATTCAGGAGCCGGTGCATGCCCAGTACTTGCCAACAGTGCGTATCCGAGACGTGACCGATTGCCCAAGTGTTTAACGAGCCGATCTTTTGGTGAAGAGGATAAAAGAAAAGGAAAAGTAATCAGAGACGTGACCGATCGCCCAAGCGGCTAACGAGCCGATGAGTGGTGAAGAGGATCAAAGTAAAACTAAAACGCTTGGCTGGATGAGGAACCTTAACGCTCTTCTTGTTCACAGGTGCCATGGTGGAGAGTAGGTAAAAGTTACCAAAATTACACCAAAAACAAGCACAGAGCAGGAAACAGTCTTCAAACACCAACCAAAACAGAGTGGGAAAACAAATACTGCTGCTGGAAGCTGGCACCACGAGCCGTGCTGCCATCTCTTGGCAGTCGCTGCTACTGCTGGCTCTCGCAGACCTGCAGCTGTCCCGTGATAAATTCCACGATAACCCAGATCAGTCAGTGATAAGCGTACACATGGTCACAATTGAGGATCCAGTGCTAAGCTAGATCATCGATTATTGGGTCCCGTGATTATCGAGGATACATGTTATTATGTATCGTCTATCATGTTGTTTGATCATGTCATAAACAAGTGATTATGAAATTAAATTTACATGCATCACAGTATGACAATATAATACTCCCTTACAAGATGCTGTCACGTTTGACTCTTTTTTTTTTCAGTGAGCCTCCATATATAATGTACAGTACTGTACATTACAAATTCTGTAATACGTGTGTGCTGTACACTCAAATAGCTAAAAACAATATAAAATAATCCCTTCACAGCCAAAAATAACCTACAAAACTTTTCATTAACACTCCTTGAAATTTCTCCATTTTCTCAATGCCATGAGCATCCATCAAAAAATGATTTACTTTTCTGTTTTTCATTCCCTTCAACTTGGGCTCCATCTATTACATCTTTATAGCAGGTATGACATGTAAGAGTGTGCTCACTATGGCTCATTTCATTCTCAAGCTGTAAGTTATAATCAAAATTCCAATAAGTTTTGCCTCGATATCAGATTAAATATCACATTGACCCTGCACTTGTTCATGAAGTAAAGGAAGAAGCTAGAAGCATTATGGCAAAATAAAACATACCTTAGTGCTTTATGACCTGAAGTTTATAACACTCTAGTCTGTGATCCCATCACTACCTGACACTTACATTATCAAGCTGTTGCTGGGTAAGGTTGGCACCCAAGAAGTCATTCAGCTTTCGTAATTCACTCATAATGTCAGCCTTCTTATCCTCATAGAATACAAAATGCATATTGGGATGGTCCTTCTTTTCCCATGCCATCTTCACGTGGGGCCAGTATGGGCAGTACAGCACTGTGGATACAGGAAAATATTTACTCTACTCTTTTATAATTAGTCAACTTTAAGCACTCAAAAAAAAATACAGGTACTACAGTGATCTCCAGAAAGGGGCAATACAGGTACTACAGTGACCTCCAGAAAGGGGCAATACAGGTACTACAGTGACCTCCAGAAAGGGGCAATACAGGTACTACAGTGACCTCCAGAAAGGGGCAATACAGGTACTACAGTGATCTCCAGAAAGGGGCAATACAGGTACTACAGTGATCTCCAGAAAGGGGCAATACAGGTACTACAGTGATCTCCAGAAAGGGGCACAGGTACTACAGTGATTCCAGAAAGGGCAATACAGGTACAGTGATCTCCAGAAAGGGGCAATACAGGTACTACAATACAGCCAGTGATCTCCAGAAAGTGTGCAGGTGCTACAGTGATCTCCAGAAAGGGCAATACAGGTACTACAGTGATTCCAGAAAGGGGCAACACAGGTACTACAGTGATCTCCAGAAAGGCAATACAGGTATACAGTGATCTCCAGAAAGGGGCAATACAGGTACTACAGTGACTGTACTACAGTGATTCCAGAAAGGGGGCACAGGTACTACAGTGACCTCCAGAAAGGGCAATACAGGTACTACAGTGATCTCCAGAAAGGCAATACAGGTACTACAGTGATCTCCAGAAGGCAATACAGGTACAGTGATCTCCAGAAAGGGGCATACAGGTACTACAGTGATCTCCAGAAAGGGGCAATACAGGTACTACATTGACTACAGTGACCTCCAGAAAGGGGCAATACAGGTACTACAGTGATCTCCAGAAAGGGGCAATACAGGTACTACAGTGACCTACTAAGGGGCAATACAGTACTACAGTGATCTCCAGAAAGCAGGTACTCTCCAGAAAGGGGCAATACAGGTACTACAGTGATCTACTACAGTGATCTCCAGAAAGGGGCAATACAGGGTACTACAGTGATCTAGGTACTACTCCAGAAAGGGGCAATACAGGTACTACAGTGATCTCCAGAAAGGGATACAGGTACTGTACTACAGTGATCTCCAGCAATACAGGTACTACAGTGGTCTCCAGAAAGGGGCAATACAGGTACTACAGCGATCTCCAGAATTGGGCAATACAGGTACAGTACTACAGTGATCTCCAGAAAGGGGCAATACAGGTACAGTGATCTCCAGAAAGGGGCAATACAGGTACACTAATCTCCAGAAAGGGGCAATACAGGTACAGTGATCTCCAGAAAGGGGCAATACAGGTACAGTGATCTCCAGAAAGGGGCAATACAGGTACAGTGATCTCCAGAAAGGGGCAATATTATATACATGCCAATGAAACCTCCATATAATGGACTTTTCTCTCCATTTAATCCATTAGAAAAGGGGTTTCACATATAATGGACCCTCAATATAACAGATTTTCCTCTCTATATAGTCCATTAAATAGAGGTTTTACAGTGTATATGGTGATGCAACCTGTCATTGGGCAGTGTGCTTTTACCGTAATTGATTTATTTTTGAAGATTTTGGCAAAGCCTTAATCTTAGATAATAATAAAAATGTTGTTGAAAACACAACATAAATGATAGCATGGATAGAATTTTTATTAAGATAAGTTAATTTATTCTATCAAAACAATGGACAAAGTTTGTGCTGTTCCATTTTATGATGACTGGTGAGAGATGAAAACAATGCTTGCCTAGGTATAAATGTAGAGCCATCAAACCAGTAAGAAAATAGTATTGTAATAGTACAGTACGCTATTCATATTCTTGGTGAATCACACAAATTCAAAGCAGATCTAGTGAGCTGGCTGCAGAGAGACTTGACAAGCTAATAGGACCAGTGGGAACAGAAGCTTTTTACAAATACTTCAAACGTGGTCAGTCATAGTTGATGAGTGACAAACTTCATGGGGTCATCTTCCCTTTTCCCTCTATATTTGTTTCAGTTACCCATTGTATTTAGTTTCTACTGTGGCCTGTTTTCTTTACATTAAATTCCAAGCTTATAGTAAAGACATCAAAATATCTTGATTATTGTGTATTAGTATGTATATTAGTATTTATGTTTCATTATGTAAACTTTACAGAATGTATCTTTATTTTTTGTACAGTTATGAGACAGCAAGAAGCAGTTGTGAAGTAAAAAAAGAATTAAAGAAATTATATGTTGATGAAACAAGAAAACTGTTGGAACGTTTTGTTTTGTTTTGTTTTCTCTGTATGGTTAGGCTTTGAGGTAGATAGGACGGGACATGTTTGGTTGGTGTATATTTATCTATTGTTATCTGGGCAATCGTGGGTAATTTTGGTGTTAACTAAGGTGCAGTATGTTTATTATGGTTGATAGAGTGACATAATAGTGAGAGAGCATTATATGTAGTGGAGACAACATACTTTTAACTGAATTAATTTGTGGCCATTTTGTATGTGCTGTATACTGTACGGATGGAGAGCACATGTTAATTTGATTATTGTTAAATATATTTTATTTTTATTTTTTACAGCTGTGTTTTGTTAAAACCAGTTTTGAAGGAACAGTGATTCTAAAATAAAAACCTGTCAGCAGTCAACAGTGGTGGGCACAGCTAAGCGAAAAGTTAGCTTTGCTAACCGCTTATCTGCTAACTAAAAAGTTAACTTCGCTAATGCTAAACCGCTAAACAGCTAAAAAAATTAGCGGAAGCTAACGCTAACCGCTAACTTTTAATACAGTATATGAATTTAGCTTCGGTTTGTTTGTTTTTTGGCTCTAAAACCCTTAAAAACAGACCTAGAGAGCTGAAATTTGCATATGTTGTCTTGTAGCTTAGACATAGAGCTTTCCCAAAAGGTACAGCATGCCAAGATCAGATGATGATCAAGGTGTACACAAATAATTAAATGAACAAATGAAATTAAACATTAGTTTACATTCAAGTTTCAACATACACTTTATAGTCTTTATTTACTGTACGAAAAGACAGAAAGTATTAAACGAATCCAAAAACTATAGTACTGTACTGTATAGCATAGGTAGCAAATAGCATCATGCCAAGATCAGATGATGATCAACTTATCAAGGTGTACACTGTACACAATTTCACAAATAATTAATTTGCATTCTCATACAACCTATCGGCCTTATTCATTATTCATGTAAATATGCAGTACCAACCACATACACATTATACCAGTGCATTTTTATATAACTTGTTGCTGGTCTTAGTCATGTAAATAAACAGAAAACTCTAAACTTTAATGAAAAGTAAGTTTTTAGAAAATGTTGTTTGGTGCACACCTTGGATGACATCCTGGTTATGAACTTATGCAGTACTTAGCATAACCAAATATATTGACAAAAAAAAATCCTAATTAAATTAACAAATAAATGAGAAATGAAATTATACATTAGTTTACAATTACATTCTATGATTCTTTCAACATACACTGACAGCCTTTATTTACTGGAAAAAAAGGCCAAGCGTGCCTGACTGGCTGTTGGAGACACGCGTCTCTGCGTCACACGCCTACAACAGACAGAAACAAACATGTATAAATTTTGTTAGCGGACTTAAAATTAGCGGAACTAAATTTAGCGGAAGCTAATTGGTCCGCTGATGGTTTCCAAAGTTAGTGAAAACGCTAATCCGCTAAAAAGAAAGTTAGCTTCGCTAATTACCGGTTAGCGGAACCGTGCCCACCACTGGCTGTCAGGAGATGTTAGCCAGAAAGGTGAGGTAAGGGTCTGTGTCTAACTAACTTGAATCTCTCTGTTAGCAGAAGCTGCTATTTCAGAGTCTCCGCTGATGTAATGGGCCTATGGGCTGACTGTACACCCTCGAGTGAGGTTTAGAATAGGGTGTGAGGTGTAACACAGTGTAGTGGTGAATCTAAGGGAGGTGGGCAGGTCTTTTACCAGAATCCTGGAGGATAGCGAATGTAATACCGATTTTCAAGAAGGGGGATAGATCACTATCCTCTAACTACCGCCCAATCAGCCTAACATCAATAGTAGGCAAATTACTTGAATCAATCATTTCAAACTCTATTCGAAACCACCTGGAGAAGCACAAGTTGATCAATGATTCCCAACATGGCTTCACAAGCGGGCGTTCATGTCTAACTAATCTATTAACATTCTTTTCATCAGTTTTCGAATCGGTGGAGGAAGGGCACAATTATGATGTGGTATATCTCGACTTTAGCAAAGCCTTCGACAGAGTCCCCCACGAAAGACTAATTAGAAAGGTAGAAGCACATGGCATCAAAGGTAATATCCTTAAATGGATTAGAGCATGGTTACAGGACAGGAAACAGCGAGTAAGCATTAACGGCACTGACTCCCATTGGGGCAACGTCACTAGTGGAGTTCCCCAGGGCTCAGTACTTGGACCATTATTATTTATTATAAACATAAATGACATAGATATCGGCATAGACAGCAACATAAGTAAATTTGCTGATGACACTAAAATAGAACGTGTTATTAAATCTGACGAGGACTCCGCAAAACTACAAGAAGATCTAAACAAATTTTTCGAATGGTCTGAAAAATGGCAGATGAAATTCAACGTGGACAAATGTAAAGTACTCAGTATAGGAGATGTAAACAGGGAAACCAGATACCAGATGAACAACGATGCCATAGAGAAATCCGACTGAGAGAGAGATTTAGGAGTAATGATAAGTAGGAACCTTAAGCCAAGTAAACAATGTGTTTTTGCTCGTAACAAGGCTAATAAAGTACTTGGGTTCATACAAAGGAGTGTTAGTTACAAGACTAGCGAGGTCATCCTAAAACTGTATCTTGTTCTTGTGAGACCACACCTGGATTACGCAGTTCAGTTCTGGTCACCGTATTACAGAATGAATATAGAATCCTTGGAAAGAATTCAGAGGAGAATGACAAGACTAATCCCGGGCATTAGGAACCTTGAGTATAGAGACAGGTTAAAGCATCTTAATTTGCACTCCCTCGAGAGACGTAGAGCGAGGGGCGACCTGATAGAGGTGTTTAAATGGAAGTCAGGGCTAAACAAAAGGGACATTACAAAGGTACTCAAACTATCCAACCAGGAGCGAACTCGTAACAATGGTTTTAAATTAGACAAATTTAGATTCAGGCTCGAAATAGGTAAACACTGGTTTGGAAACAGAGTAGTGGATGAATGGAACAAGTTACCAAATATCATCATTAACTCGAATACGCTGAATAGCTTCAAACATAGGTTGGATGCTTATTTGAGCAATAGGGGTTGGGTGTAAACGGGACTGCCCAGTATGGGCCAATAGGCCAGCTGCAGTTTCCTCCATTCTTATGTTCTTATGTTAAGTCACATGTGCATCTCCTCTGAGCTAAAGAAAGGAACTTTAGAAACATATAACCTATTTTATGGCTGGTTTGAAATCTCAGGTATGACCCACAAAACTGAAGTCTACTGTTGTGAAAGTGGACTGAGGCACAAACCAGTGTCATTTAGGGTAGGAAGCTAGTGAGGTATTCACTGGGCCACTGCACTAGATTGACTTCTGTTGAATATTGAAAATCATCTATTTGTGATGGGGGTGATTTAAGACATGCATTTTTGTCAATAGTGTACTGTTGATGAGGAAAGTTATCAGATTAGAGTAATATAAGAAGTCTGGATGGTTATTATTTGTCAGTGACAGTGTTGTTGAGTCAGATAAAAATCTGTACATAACAGTATACAGCATTCATCCAGAAGACTTGTGAATGTTCAAAGTAATTAAGATTATCTCTTTTGAAAATGTGACACAGGGGCATTTCCTCACTTTCCCCCAAAATGTGGCAATTCTCCAAGCAGCTGGTTCAGACACAATTTTTCCACCAGTGCAATTTGCTCTTAGTGTTACTATCACACTACAGTACTGTAGTCTAGTGGCTGTACAAGTACCCTGTACTGTACTGTAGTGTACTGTACTGTACTGTAGTTTAGTGTATTGTACTGTACTGTACTGTACTGTACTGTACCATCTAAAGCAGTGAGGACAATTGTCCAAATTACAAATGATATTCTGAAGCAGCCAATAAAAGTTAAATCTAAATGTAGATATAACATAATGTATTCTGACAACACCACAAGAAATTTACCAACTTACAATCATTATTCATAAAAGACTTAGCAAAATTCTCAAAAGTGCCAGTGTAACTGTGGAGATTGAGGTGCTGGAAGTGGTGGTACATAGACACTGTCACATCTCTGGGGTTCCTTGCTACATATACTACCTGAAAAATATGATACTGAGCTACATGCTTGTACAGTACAGTAATGCGAAGGAATGTAGATACTGTACATATAATTTCTGAATTAAGACCCAGGTTGTTGTCAGTGCCATGGGTGCAGTAAAGAAACATAAGTGATTAATATTATTTGGTAAATAGTGACAAACAAGTTTGTTATGGGTACAATAATTAAATTTTCGATTTCCAGGAGACAAATAAATATTATAGTCTTGAAAATAAACACACACATCTACATATGCTATACAGTATTACCCCGCTTTACGCGGTTTCACTTAACGCGATTTCTCATATACGCGGTGCCTCGCCAGAACCGAACTTTCACTTAACGCGGTTCATCTACTCATATACGCGGGAAGCGGCGCGGGCACGATGAGCACAAGGTCGCCCAGTCATCAAAACATTACCGAGTTCTTCACCCGCCACCCACAACAGCCGGCCCAAGTCAGTGATAGTGATAATTATGGTGAGGACATGGACTTATATGAACTTTGAGGGGTTTGACAAAGAGGCCCTGCAAGCCTCTTTGGTGGATAGTGATACAATTGACACAAGTGATACAGGTGAGGGCCAATAATCTGCCCTCTGCTCCGGAACCAACCCCCCATCCCCGTGTGCCCAGCCATCTTTTCTACTAATGTAAGTGTTAAAAAACCTAATATTATTGATATTTCTCTTAATTATTAATTGTGTGTGCATACCATCATAAAGTTAAGATAATATTTTTACTACAACATAGTTGTGTGTCGTCAAAAAGTGGAGTTTGGGGGTCGGGCCAGTCTCTATTGGAATTAATCCCATATGTTCTGTTGTTCACTTAACGCGGTTTTCACTTAACGTGGTACCCTGTGGGTTCAATTGACCGCGTATAGCGGGGTACAACTGTATATCATAATCATCATCAACATTTTACGACCATTTTTCAAACTTGTGTGTGTTAGTCACAATTACCTGGTGGCAGTTCTCCATGTTGCAGTCTTTTGTTGCCTCTCTAATCATGATCTTAACTTTTATGTAATTTCTTACAACTTCTCCCCATGTCATTCTTGGCCTGCCCTTGGCTCTCCTCTCCACATTTAGTCACTTGATCCATTGGTCTCCTCCATTCTGCCCATTCTCTCCACATGCCCAAACCATCTCAATTTAACTCACATAAAACCTCACCAATTCTCACAATACCCAGCTGCCCTCTTAGCTCTGAACAAGCTTTCCTTTCTCTCAATGTCACATTACACGTCCACTTCTTGTCAAATTAGCTCACTCAAACCTGTTCATCTCATCCTCTTAAAGTGCCTATGTTTCACTACCATACATCACACTTTTCACACCAGTTGCATACATTTTTAATTTCATGTGGAGAAACGGTCCTATCCTTGTCAATAAAGACAGTAATTTCCTCCATTCACATCTGACACTTGCAGAACTCATCGACACAGTCCAGGGATGCATCCCCTTTGTTGAGTTTCTCCAGCCTCACTAAAGCCACATGATTACCTGCACTTACAGGAAACTTAAACTTGGCAACATCCTAGTCTGCCATCTACTCCACTGCACCTCTTGTGTGTCTACCTTCCACACTCACTGCACATAACTGAGTTTCTGCCAGCACCCTACTTACAGAGAGGACATGGCCACTTTCTATTTCAGGAATCAATCATTTAATCAATAGTTCGGTTCTTCCCACATTCACTCTCAAGCCTTTGGATTCCATTCCATCCTTCCATTTCTTAAATTTCTCCACTACCTCTTCAATACAGTACTACTACTATCATCACTGAGTGATCAGCATGCAACTCCTAGGGCAGATCAATCATAAAGTCCATGACAGTGCCTTATGGGCATGATAAACTGAGAGAGACTCATAACACCCCTGATGAACTTTTAGTTTCACCTCAAATTCCTCTCCATTTAATCTCACATTGGTTTTTAACCCCCATATGCCATAATAATTCAAATAAGACACTTCTCAATTCCCTTTCACATTGCTCTCTTTAATATTTCATGTGGTACCCTGTCCATAAATATGACATCCTGTACAACTTTCTCTCCTTCTTTAAATATCTGTCTTGTAGTTGCCTGGCCATAAATATTACATGTAGTATAAACCCAAGCTGCATTTTGTTAATGTCCACTAGGGCCTTTATCAATTTCTTGTTCACTCTCCAAAATTTTCATAACCCCCAGATACTGTACAGGTGTTACTGTACAGTACGGGGTACATAATTTTTTACAAAAGACACAAAGTAGTAGACAACTTTGTAAAGAGTTGATGATATATTCAAATAAAAAGTAGCATTAACTATACAATACAGTGCAATAGGTAAAGACCTTAGCTGTGTCAAGAATATCTGGTGGCAGGAGGGAGAGTGGGAGATGTGTCTTGATGATGCGAGGGTCAGGGGTGACCTCACACAATTGCACAAACACTCCATCTTCTCTCTTCTTGTCTGGACATGTTTGACGAAGTTCTTCAAACATATCTCCCATACTTACACCTTTCTCTACCCAAGCCTTGCCATCTTGAAGCATATCAAAG